GTAGCAAGTCAAAAGTTTGCAAGTGAGGAAAGCCTGCCTAACAAGTCTGCTCACCTGTTTCTCCTCTGTCTGCAGCTCACATTGCAAAGCCACACTTGGCATCTTGTCAATCACTTCCCTCCAGACCTTCCCAGGACAGCAGAGCAGACTGGTCCAGGACCTCCTTCAAGCCTGCTTTCACAGTAACCCATCTACAAACTAATGCTACTATTAAAATTGGAGATCTTCTCTAGTAAATGTTATAATGCTACCACTCCCAAAACCTTCTTACCAGCTACATAATGTAGCTCAACCTGAGTACAACCATTTCCAGATAGGAAGATGGCCAGGAGTGAGTGCAGGAGCCAACAGGCCTGGGCTCCCTCTTTCTACCCAGCAAGGTATGTATTCCCATACTTCTTCCCCAACAGCACGGCCAGATCCGGTCTGAAGACAAAAGGAGGCGAAGGCTGGGCTCCTGGAGCAACTCCAAGGCAGTGTGAGGCAGCAGTTCAATGCCAACACCTTCAGGAGTGTTAGTGAGAAGGGAGGTGTGTTGCCAGGGGGCTGGAGGAGCAGAATGGAGGGAGAGGTGATGCTGGTGCTGGTTTTGGTGCGAATACTAAGAGCCAATTGGGCAACTATCTTCGCTGAGGAATGGCCAGGGTGGATTTCTGCACGCAAAATAAACAAAACAAAACACAAAAAGTGGATAGTGTGTCAGCCTGAGGACTAACGGGTCCCAAGTTCGATTCCCGGGCTTGCAAGCTGGATCCCCAGTAGGGGGGCGTGCCGGAGGCAGCCAATCAACGATTCCCTCTCATCACTGATGTTTCTATCTCTCTCCCGTCCTATCTGAAATCAATAAAAAAAAAAAATGTATTTAAAAAAACACACAAAACAAAAACCACAGGATAAGTCAGAATGATTGTATTAAGCTTTTTTACTACCTTGTTTCTGCATGCTCAAATGCTTTTTATTCAATTTTAGGTGAAGAGCTTCCAGTCAAGGGGGCCTACTCACTTGTCGGAACACATACAACATGGCATCATCACACTGTGCCATGTATGTTCATGAAGAAGAAATACTCTGCGAAGGAAACAGGCTTCAAACATCACATTTGCAATCTGTTTTTGAAACGGGCTATTGCTCAACTCTCCCGAATCATGAAATCGGTAGCAGTAACCTAGGAGCCTTGACAGAGGCCTAGCCTCTGGGCAGCTTCGAAAAAGCAACACGACCAATAGGAAGAGAGCTTCCACCGAAAAACCACGTGCCTCTCAGGAGGAAGTCCCTTCTCACCATCCCGTTTCCCCACAGTTCACTTTCAGGGTCAGGGCGACAATGTAAATATTTCTAAACACCAGTGTGGACACCCTGCATTTACTTGCGTCACTCGTGGAAGAGCTGGGATTCCGTCCTCGGGGACCCACACATGAAAAGTCTCCCCTTTAATATGAACACAGTGAGTCCGGAGCCAAACAACGGGGCCATTCAACGGTCCACGGCCCAGCGGACGCGAGGAGGCCGGGATCCGCCAGCGCCGGGCCTGCAGGTGGGGCCAAGGGCGAGCCTGCATTTCGGGGCATCTCGGAACCATCCACTCCCACCTGATCCCGAGTGGGTGTGTGGCTGGGTGATGGATGGGAAGGAGGGCGCCGGCCAGTCCCTCCGCCGGGAGTCAGGAGCAGGCCTCGGGCGGCAGGTCCTCCAACTCGCCCCGCATCCATCCCCGCGCCGGCCCCGGTCCTGGGCTGAGAACCGGTGCCCAGGCCGGAACCCGCCGCCCCGACCGGCATCGCGCATCTCTCCGCGGCTCCCGGCAAACCGCATGTTCCTCCAGGGCCACCCCAACCCCGCAACCCTAGACCCCAGGTCCGGGGGTCTCGGACCTCCCGCCATGTCTCCAGGGCGCCGCAGCTCACGGCGAGAGGAGGGGAGCTCAAGGTGACACCCGGTTTTGGAGACAGGCTCCGGGTGGCGGGCTCGACCTCCCGGGCCCGGCTGCCCGTCGGAGCCCGGGCGCCTCACCTGGCAGCGGCACACGATGTCCGCGTCCTGCGCCAGCAGATCCACCACCTTCCCTTTGCCTTCGTCGCCCCACTGCGCGCCGAGCACCACCGTCACCCGGTTCCCTCCGGGCCGCGCCCGGGGCCGGCCGCAGTCGCCGTTGGGGCAGGGAGGATGCTGCCGGGTGGGTCTCGGCTAACGCCATGGCTCCAGCGACGCGAGGAGAGCCCGAGGGAGAAGCGGACCGCAGCGAGTGCGCGAACGGAACTGCTCTGCCGCCCGGAGCCACATGCAGAGGAAGCGGCAGCCAGCGGCGGCCCCGCCCCGGCCCCGCCCCCGCCGGGCCGCCCCCTCCACCCAGGCCCCACCCGGCTGCCGGCCAAGGCCCGCTCAAGGGGGGACCATGACTGCCCCGCTCAGGCCGGCAGCGGCAGCTCCGCCTGGAGGGAGAGGCCCTGATGGCCGCAACCGCCGTCGCCCGGAATCGAAGCCACGCCCCTTCCAGGGCCGGGCGCGCCATTCTCCGGCCAACCGGAGACCGGAAGCGGCAGGGGCGGGGCTGAGAGCGCGCGCGCCAGCCTCAACGCCCCGCCTACCCTCCCTGGCTCCTGCTTTTCAAGCGGGAGGGCACGGAGGTGCGTGCTCCAGCGTCGGACTACAACTCCCGGCATGCAACGCTCTGAGCTGAAGAGACCTATGCTGGTACCGGAATGTCTGCCCTGTGTAGGTTTCCGTCTCTGAAAACATTCAATTTTAAATTATTTTTTAATTCATGGGTTTGCATTTATGGCACGCCCGACCCCCTGAGTCTCTCACAGTGGCTCATGCCAGAGGAACTGTGGCCTTGAACCATTGCCTGGCTCCTGCCCGTAGGCGGCAGGCACTGAAGCGGGTTGCACGGTGAGGGGGAAAATTATTTTTTAATGACTTGTTTTTATTAAGGGATGAGATTGTGTGCAAAACAAAAAGGGTGGAACTTCATAATATAAATGGGTTGGGATGGGAACGTATAGGTTTCGAATTGGAAAGTAGAGGACTAGGGGTAAGAACAGAGATGGGGATAGGGATGGAATAGGGCCAACTCAAAAGTAAAGCAATAAGATAGAGAATGTTAGACCTGAAAATCTGGGGATCAAGTAGAGTCCTAGCCCTTCTCATTTTACACTTTAGTAACACAGGCTCAGGGAGGAGGAGTGTATTACCGATGTCAGATAGTATATGCCAGATACTATGATGCACTTAGCTCTTTTAATTCCCACAACCATCCAAGGTAGGTGATACTATCTTATCCTTATTTTACAGGATTTGAAAGTTAACTTGTTCTAACCAAGAGCTTAATTGCTATCTAAGCAGCCTGAGTCCACAACCCAGCCCTTTTGTGTATATTCCACTCCTGTTAGTGTTTCAGATGTCGCTAGATTCCAGAGTATATATCTCCTGCGGAATATCTTCCGCCTGCAACACAAATTAACTATGACATAGGATTCTGACATAAAGTTGCTGGGCCCAGCAGGCATGGCTCAGTGGTTGAGCATCGACCTATGAACCAGGAGGTCAGGGTTCAATTCCTGGTTAGGGCACATGCCTGGGTTGCCGGCTTGATGATCCTCAGTGTGGGGCGTGCAGGAGGCAGCTGATTAATGATTCTCTCTCATCATTTATGTTTCTATCTCCCTCTGTCTCTCTCCCTCTCTGAAATCAAGAAAAAGATATTTTAAAATAAATAAAGTTGTTTCGGGGAAAAGGTGTGCATAGAATCAAATTAAATGTAGTGTCTCCCAAATAAAAAAAAAAGATTATGTGTGTGTCCCAAGTCATATGTATGCAATCATGTTCTCTAATGGTTCCCAGAGCATATTTTATAATTTTTATTCAAAGATTCATTAAGTCAGAATCAGTAAACACGGAGACCCTACAATAAGTTAAGGTAGTGCTAGGCACTGAGGACATAAGGAGGAATAAAGATACAATTGCAGCCCTTCAGGATGCACATTATTTGGTCTACCGAAAAATAAACAGATGAATTATACTACTGCGTGATAAATTTTGGTGTTTATCTTGTTTTTACCACAAGATTACAAGCCCCTTTGTAAACCAGAACGCTTTATTTTATTTTATTTTATTTTATTTTACTCAAGAGCAGGAGACAGCGTTGGTCATGCAGTTGGTGCTCAATAAGCACCTGTTACTGCTCACTTCTGTTCAATGGAAAAGTCACTTACAGAGTGCCTGCACTTGTTATGCACCGCTAGGTGCCTATTTGTTATTGCAGTCGTGGTAGGAAAATTTGGTCTAAAACAGTGGTTCTCAACCTTCTGGCCCTTTAAATACAGTTCCTCAGGTTGTACCCAA